TATGATTATAGAAAGTGATTTTACCTTTCGAATCACCAAGTGTTCTTCTATTAAGGATTCTTAATTGAAATTCTGTGCATAAGTCAAGTATAAGTTTTCCATAGTTATTAGTTTTTTGGTGTACTTGAGTATTTCTAAATTTGCATACACTATCTGCAACATAATTAGTGGGAAGAAAATTGTCCAAACTGTCATCTACTTCATTTGTTATGAAATCTAACTCTTTACAGTTAATATGTGCATTTAGGATAACATCCCCTGATATACTATATTTCGCAATATCTGCTTCGAGTTTCTCAAAAACTTGTTTATCAAAATTTGTTCTTAATGTGTAAGATGAGTTGGAAGGAGAGATATATAGGAAACATAAATATACATTTCATCAAAACTGAAAAAAACTCTTGTCTAGTTTAAACCACATTATGTCATCCATGGATTTATCCATCAACTTTACACCTGATAATATTTCCTTCTTACAAAAAGTAGCTAAACACCTTATTTTTCATTTGAATCAGAGGAACTACAGTTTACAAAACATTTATAACCAGCATAGTTTAAAATCTCTTTGGAGGGGATATGTGTTTCTGAAAAAAACAAACAATATCTGCAGTCATAATTTGACAAATAATATTATCATCTAGTTTACAAACTCTGTTACCACTCATTCTTTTAAACATTCCCTTAACATTCCAAGAGCTGATAGATAATTGCTATGATACTTTTATACACATGATTAAAATCTAAATTTTGAATTAACCTTACAACATGTACCGGGGTTGGTGAACTGCAGAACAGATAGAAAGAGAAATTAAAATAAATAAAAAAAATAAAATAAGATAAAATAAAAAATAAAATTAAGAGTTACTATTAGTATTTTTATAAATTTCAAGACTGAAACTTTACTTGCTTTAAGTGTTTGCCGTTTTTGTTTTTTAGCTTTAACTATATATAAAACAATTAAAATAAAAATAAAAATGCTTGCCTTCTACTAGCATACAAGCTGGAAAGTTACTTAAAATATTTCCAAAACTATAATTAAATTTAAGTATTCCAAAACTTTCTTTTTCCATTCTTGGCTAATCCTTTATCAACATGGTAATAGTAAATTATACTTAATACCAACAAAATATAACTTCTGCAAGAAGTTTATAAAAATAATAATAATCAAAACGTATGAAGAATATACATATTTTAATTAGGTAAAAAAAGTTATGTTATAGTCTACATTAAGCTTATTTTCCTAAGAACCATAATGGTGAAAAACACTTGCTACTGCCGATGCGATACTAGCGGCTAAAGTCTGATGATCAAAACCCAAATGATAAGTGTGTTCTGGATTTCTGTCATTGTACATGTTGGGTGACCCTTGAAAGGGGTTACCAGCTGGAGCCTCAGAGTTTCGTCCTCTATCACTACGATCACTGTTCTTTCTATTAGGTATATTGTGTGGGTACATGAAATCATTCCCATTCCTGATTGTGTTTTTCTCTGTATGAATTCACAGATAGATTATGTTGTGAAACCTGAATCCTATTCCTAGTGCGTGGGAATAAAGTGTTTCTTAGGTTCCCAGCTAATACACGAACTCCTTCATTTTTCATCAGTCTAAATGAAACCCAATAGAATTTTTGACCACATTACCATTTGAAATGATGTTGCTGTTTCTACAAATTTTTATATTAGTAGCTGTATCATATTTTGACAAAATTCTGTCATTAAAATCTTGGATTTTTACGTTAAGCCCTACGAGTTGTGTGGGCAATTCCAGTGAAATAACTACCAATTCTGCTTTTCCTAAGGCCTTTTGTATTAAGTCAGTATATTTACTAAATGCTTCTTCTGCTGATTCATTTTTCAGGTTATTGATTCCTACTCTGTCTACTTGCCCTAAAGCATCTCCAATTGTGTAGGTGGTATATTTCATACCCTCTTTACCTGATCTTAAAAGTAGTCTTTCAATATCCACAAAACGACAAATAGAGTCATGCATGAAGATGACATCCGTGTTGTCTGATTCAATGATGTCATTTGTTTTCTTATTTGTCATGTTAGAGTTTGAGTCAGGTTGAGAAAGATGGTTTGTTTGAGTAACTTTTTCTGTAGGACTTAAATGATTTGATGTACTCTCTCGCGTCGAAATATTTGGAACACTTTTATTGTTTTGTTGATTTCCTGCATTTCTAGTTGTTTCACTTTGTTGATTTTGTCCATTGAGTTTTTTCCATGGCTCAATGGGGTAACCCTGACAGTCATATAAAAAGGACTGTATCCTATCTTGTAAGTCCTTGATAACTACATCTTTTTTCCTCAATTCTTGCTTTAACATTATACTTTAGTTCTTCCCCATCTTTATTGGCTTTATCTATAAGAAAAACTAGCTTTTAATTGTCCAAATCAGATTCTGTTTTTGACTTTCTAATTAGTGGAAGTTGGTTTTGAAGTTCTAAGTTTCTTTTCTCCAAATCCTTTTTTACAGTATTTAAATCTTTTTTTTTATTTGATCGGAAGAGTTCGTTATCTTTTTTAAGTTTCTCAATGGTTGAATTATTTTCTTTTAATTGTGACTCTTATATTTTGGTATCAGGTGGATTGTGGGTACACTTTATTGACTTGATCATGTTTTGTATTTCACTGATTATGTTAGTTTTCGAGTCACTTTGTAATGTCAACAAGTTAGTAATGGATTTTGAAATTTTGACTAGTGATTCCTCGATGACATCAGTACTATTTTGAATGACAGTAAGGGTCTGCTCGGTAATTTTCTCAGATTCATGAACCTTTTCTGGTTCTGTTTCCAAAGTTTGTTAATTAACCTTCACAGATTCATTGGGGGTATCAAATTGTTTTTGTACATTAGCACTGGTTATGGTCTTAGTTGTGTTTGCGGAAACTTCATCTTGTGTTTGTATGTTTGAATTATCTATTACATTGTTAATACATTTTGGTGTAGTTTCTTCTGATATAACTTGAAATAAGTCTCCAGATTGTGCTTCTGAGGTAACACTATGTCCAACAATTGATGTTGAAGATTCAATATCAAATTCTTCAGTCTTGTGAGAAACACATGTAACTGAGCTAAAAAGTGCGTTCACAAGGACTTTGCATTTCTCAAATTGATGATTACAAAATGATTCCCATAATTTTTCTTGGGTTTGAATTTTTCCGGTTGTTAAATATATGATAATCTTGTACAAGAAATCATCTGGGTTGACTCCGTTTGATTCTGGGGTATTATTGTCAGAAATAACAAACTCTTGCTTTGATACTATATATGCCCTTGAATTTTTACTAGATAACATTTTTGTTCGCTTTGGAGATTCCGTATATCGTCAGGTTATCGGAATTCCAATGGGGACTAACTGTGCACCACTTATTGCGGACCTTTTTTTGTATTGCTATGAGTTACAATTTATGACAAAAATCAGCAAAGACCCATCGAAACAACATCTGATACACAAATTTAATAATACTTTTAGATATTTGGATGATATTTTGGCTCTCAATAATGACGACTTCAGTATGTATACTAAAGAAATTTATCCTGTTGGACTTACTTTAAATAAAGCTAATACTAACAATGACCACTGCCCTTTCCTCGATCTTGATATCTATATCATTAACGGAAAGCTTAATACTAAAATATATGATAAAAGAGATGATTTTTCATTTCCTATCGTTAATTATCCATTTTTAGATGGTGACGTTCCCTTGTCACCATCTTACGGTGTTTATATATCTCAACTTGTACGATTCGCTCGTGTATGTAACAATGTTTTAGATTTTAACGAGAGAAATTTATGTATTACTGAAAAATTATTACACCAGGGTTTTCGATATCACAAACTAGTCAAAACATTTACTAAATTTTATCATCGGTATAAGGACATCATTCGTAAATATAGCTCAACATGCAGACTTCTTATACGTTCAGGTATTTCACATCCAATTTTTTATGGAAATATTCTTTATAAAGCACAAAAATGTCAGTATTCACCTCTGAAGCTAACAAAACCTTTAAATAGACTTATTAAGAAGGGATATAGTTACGATACTGTTGTCAGGTCATTAAAGATTGCATATTTTGGCGTTAATATTGATTCACTTATAGGGTCTTTGCATCGGCACTAATCACATTTATTTAAAAACCAGTTGTTGGCATGACACGGGTTATGTTCTTCTCATATATGTTATGATGGTATGATACTAAACCCCTAACGGGAAGGACTGTGCCTGATATTCATATGGTGAAGACATAATCTTTCAATCAGTTTAATTGAAGTCTGGAGCTGGCATGTCAGTTAACTGCTAGTAGTCTGTTGTTATTTATGTATTATTGTCATTTTGTTAATTTTCTTTGGTTACATCTTCTGACATCAGACTCGGACTTCTCTTGAACTGAATTTTAATGTGCGTATTGTTATGCGTTTACTTTTCTACATTGGCTAGAGGTATAGGGGGAGGGTTGAGATCTCATAAACATGTTTAACCCCGCCGCATTTTTGCGCCTGTCCCAAGTCAGGAGCCTCTAGCCTTTGTCAGTCTTGTATTATTTTTAATTTTAGTTTCTTGTGTACAATTTGGAGTTTAGTATGGCGTTCATTATCACTGAACTAGAATATATATTTGTTTAGGGGCCAGCTGAAGGACGCCTCCGGGTGCGGGAATTTCTCGCTGCATTGAAGACCTGTTGGTGACCTTCTGCTGTTGTCTGTTCTATGGTCGAGTTGTTGTCTCTTTGACACATTCCCAAATTCCATTCTCAATTTTATCTGTTTGTACTATTTTATTGTTACTATCTGTTTTGTCAGTCCAAACCACATTTTTGTTCCCTGTACCCTCTTTTATATAAATAACTTCTGCAATGGCTGTAATTCATGCATGAATCCTAATGTTGGATGTGATGAAACAGGCACAGTTTTCATTGGGTTTGTATAATGTTAAATCAATTTCTTCAAATGGAATTACTTTTCCTGAACACGTTTTCTGTTTTGATTTAAAAAGTTTTGATTTAAAAGTGTCATTGATTGGATAAGTATTCTTCATTTTTTCTAAACCTATATCAACAACATCATTATCTGGTATACTCATGTTTACGTTTTATTTGGGTGATTGGCTGTATCATATAGGTAAGAACGATTAAATGTAAATTAAACGATATGCCGTATTCAATTGTCACCTTCCCCTGAACATGATGATTGTTGTTCACAGTTTTATTTTCTATGGGTTGAATATATTACAAAATATGCTTAAATAACGTTGTTTTGTGGTAAAAAAAAATTACCGCTTTTCACTTCTTCAAACCGGAAGTCAAGCATTATGTGCTGAAACATTTTATTTCTTGAAGATGAATATGAGAAGAGAAATACAGCTTTCTTTACTGAAGGAGCCAAATTGATAAATACTTGAAGTAGCTTTTTACTAGGGGTCTCATACAGTCCATGGCAAAGTATGTTATTGTCGGAAAGTTTCTCTCGAATAAAATCTGACGTCTCCTCATCGGCAGGGTCGTTAATGAGAAAAACAATTCCTGACGACGAACATCCTACTGTTTCCAATTCCATGATTTGTTTAAAGTCGTTGTGTAATTATTAATAAAAAAGGTTGTTATAATGTAGGATTGAGAATGGAAACGGGGAATGTGTCCATTAAACAACAACCCGACCAAAGAGCAGAAAACAGCCCAAGGCCACCAATGGATCTACAACACAGCGAGAAAATGTCCGCACCCTGAGGCGGGCATCAGCTGGCCCCTAAACATTATGTATACTAGTTCAGCGAAATGGACGCCAAGCTGAACTTCAGACTATAGTTTTCCATTTTTAACGACTGAAATATAAAATAATTGAATATTTTTATATTTTTTAAGATTTCAAGAGACTGAAAAACAATATTTTTTGTCATTCATGTTTTTTTTACCGATGAAGATATTTATTAGAGCTAAATGTTAATTTGATAAACAATGTATTATACGATATCTGTGTTAGTTTTTCAAACTATAATAAGTTCGAGTTTTTCGTCAAACAATTATTGCTCCACTTTCTATAAATCATAACACGTTTATTAATTAAGATATAATTAAGATCTTAATTATTATTTCAGTGATCTATAAATTAAGAACACTACTGACACAGTTATAGTTAATATAGACCTACAAATAAGTCAACATGGCAAACATTAAACACTAACTAAATTGATTGTCTTAATTAAAACGTTTTTTTCATTGAATAAATATCAACTGCGATATTGGATGTGATTCGCATTATAAGGCCTCGGACCTCAATGATTTTAACAGTGCATTCTCTGTTATAGTTAAAATTGAATTAAAAATAAAAGTCAAACATATAACAAATTCAGCTGCTTATTTAACTTTATCTTCTTATAAAATCATATAAATAACATCTCCCAGCAAAAGCCACCACTGCTTTCTCTTTTGAGAGCTCAGTTAACAAACATCCATCAAATTTAAACGTGACCTTCATGAATGTCGAGAATTATTGTATATCCTACTTCTAATTTTGCAATGGCACACATTGGCCAAATCTGTACTTTCACTGTCTACCATTATTTTTCTCCATGTCTTAATACATTTTTAATAGGATTTTAGTCTTGAACAAGTGCCTAAGGATAATTTCTATCCTACTTTCACTTCGGTCTAAAAACTGTCTTTTACTTTCAACAACAAATATTGTGTTCCATATCGAAACATATTAAAAAAGCAGGACTACACTTATATGCTCCGAAAGTGAAAGTAATACCTTACAGGACCACTTAAATAGTTTATTTTTCAATGAAGAACTATCCCATATAATACCTTTAAGACTCGTTGACAAAGAACAATAGCTGATCTAGTGTTATAAGCTACGTGTACAGTATTTTATTTTAATTGATATATAGTAAAATCTCTGTCAGCTTAGCTGCTCAGTCAGCTACCACTGACAAGTCGATCGTTTCAGGTGAAAGTGAAACAGGTATTACTTTCACTTTCGGAGCATATAAGTGTAGTCCTGCTTTTTTAATGGAGTTGGCGTTTCTCATTTGTTTATATTTCAAGTTATTGTTTGCGTTTGTCGTTTTTATTTTGACCAAGTTTCGGTCTTAAACTAGTTTTTTTTATCTACCACTTTATTTATTTTCCTTTTTTTACAAATAAAAGACAATGATGCTTCTGGCTTCACGTTGTTTTACCCGGATTGATTCTTTATTGACCAGTGAACGATAAAGTACACGCGTTGTATGCGATTCAACCCACCTGCCACGATCTGATTATCTTACAGAGCCCCGGATTGCACTTTTATTTCAGTAGGAGTCAGTCGCTCATTGAACTATGTATTTAGTGTTCGCTTTTTTTTATCTGTCTAAACTTGTTTTTAAATCATAACGAAAATACATAATAGAATAAATCTGTTGGCGGTATCCGTTGACTTCAATATATATATAATTTTCAGTAGAAGTTGCTGACAAATTAATATAACACATGAACAGAAATCAAAATATAGAAAATAAAATAAACATATAAAGTGGTAACAACCATGATTTCTTTCTACAAAAAAAATTAAACCATTACACGTTTCATTAGAGAAGAAATTTTTTGTTGGTTAAAACTGATAACTTACCTTGATCCACGGTAAGGGTAAATGTTTATAAAAACATCATGATATGGATCATTAAATCACATGTTAGTTTGGATTCAATATCATTTAAAAAGTCAAATCAATTATCTGTATTTAAACAATTTGAATATACTTTGCAACCTAAACCTAACTTCTACGTAACGACTATTGTATAATGCTGGCGAGTAATCAAATATTGTCAAGGTTATATAAATAGACTTCTTAATTTGCATATATTTCTATTTATCTTGACGCTTATTTTCTTTTGCAGAAATTTGACCACAAAATATGGAAAATATTCTAAATTCTAAAATATTCCTCGGATATTCCAAAGTTAATAATATTGATTGCATGATTGATCGTTGATTCCTGAAAGACCAGTGGCAATAAATAACATGCAAGAACGAAAACAAACACGTTTTGGGAAATATTAGACACAGGATTGTAACACAGCTCATTTAGAAACAGTGAGCCAATGTGTACCAAAAATAAATTGTTTAGCTTTATTTTTTTGGTACCGTTAATTTTTAACTGATTATTTGTGTTTTTTCATAAAGTTTTGTTGAGATGTAGCACTTAATGTGATTACTTTCTGAAATTGATACCCAAGATAAAAAAGAGTTTCAAAAGAGATCAAAAACCTCTAGGATTGTTTATTTTTATTTTATGTGATCTTTGGCATACAGGTGGCATACTTATAGCGACCCCTGTATTTTTAACAGCCTCACTAGACTAGGGAAAAAATCAAATGAGTTTAGACCCCCATAGTTTTACATACATATATTTAAATAACCAGTACAATTGTTTTTACCTGATAAGCATCATTGTAATACGTAATCATTATCGTATATCCGGTTCATTGACTACCATGTGTTGATTTAACATTGAAAACTATATAGTTGATTGATAAAAATGAGAGTTATAATATGAATTGCAAATTATTGATGTGATTAACAAAAATTAGAAATTATACTGTAATATACGTATGGATCATAAAAGGATAAAGCACATATGGTAAGTACTAAAGTAGTATGAAGCATGATATATGTGGTAATTTACTAATCATATATAATATGCATAATATGCACAGACAAAGATTCAAATATCGATTACATCAAAAAAAAATATTAGTTTTCTTTCTGTCAAGAATAATAAATATTTTTCACCAAGTTTACCTTAAGATACAATAAGATTATTACATATGGAATCGAACACACCTTTAGTTTAGAGCAGTAGAACTAAGTATATTTTTCGATAAAGAGTGCTACTTTCAACATATAGCCCATTTAAAATAAAGTATTATTGCATTAACAATTGTATTACTAGAATTATTTGTACACATTCCTAATAGAATATCTTTTTCAACGAGTGCCTCGTTATTTATTAATTTCTGACAACTGTTCCTATCAATGGTTTAACATTGTTACATTGATAAAATAAATGCTCAAGAGTTTCAATATTATTATTTTCATCACATAAGTGACATTTTCCGTTTGACAAATGCATTATTTGCAGTCTGTTTTTAGTATATATTATCCTATGTATACATTTCCATTGAAATTCTTTAACTTTTCTTTTAATATCCATTTTACTCAGATTTAGCCATTTTTTTCCCCAATTTATATACTCGCTATACAAATTTTCCTATTTTGTTTGACACTTAGGGGTCTCAGTTCTGTTTATGTTTTATTCAAGATATTTTAATGTCAAATCTTTAATTTTAGTTATTTTATTATTTGGATTTAGAAATTCAAAGTTTTCAGAAATTTAGATTTTGTGGCTTTTTAAAGTGTGTTGAACATCGTTGTTTTTTTTAAATCTGCAGGAGTGTTTGTGGTATGGAACTTTTAGTTCGTGATTATTCCGAAATACGGTTACGTTTATCTGTTAGTTGTTGATATATTTCATTGCATGATTTAAAATCTTTGGTATTATTGTCCCATACATCACCAATAGTTTTTATTTGACATTTTGAAAATAGAAGAATAAAATAAAGATTTGCCCTGAAATAACATATTTGAGTTTCCAAATAATCTCTGTTTCTTTACATCTATTTCGTTAAACATTCCCTGTGTGATCCCTGTCAATTTTGACCACGATTGTTAAGCCCTTTTGTAATAATGTGGTTAGGTTTTGATAGCAAGACCTGAAAGGTCAGAACATATACACAGAAAAAGTTTATCTACAAATTTCTTATATTTATTTAACCAAAATTTACCTATTGCGTTCCAACTAGATAATGGCTTGTGTAATATTCAATATATTGATTTGATATATTAACTTTCTATCCAACTATCCAAATTTACCATCCCATGCCCCCTTTTTAACATCTAAACAACAAACCTTACGGTCTACTTGATTCACTTTACCATCCCAAATAAAATCCAATATAATCTTATTAAAATCTTTTTTGTATTTTCCAGGTATACAACTTATTTCTAACTCATAACCACAAACGGAAATAATTAAATTTTTAACAATAAGAACTTTTCCAGAGCATGTCAATTTTCTACTCTTCCAGACGTGTACACAATTTTGTACCTTTTCTAATATTGATTTCCAAATTTTGTCATTGTCAATGTTATAACCATGGTGAATACCTAGTGTTTTTATGTTATCTGTTGACTATTTTTAAAAGAAGGCCGTTTGCGTTTATTTGCGCCAATATTTATCCCCTTAGTCTTTTCGTAAATAATTTTAGAAACCCAGGCCTTTTCATATTTGTCTAATAGTTCATATGATTTTCTAACAGAATTTTCATTTTTATTAATTAATTGAGTGTCGTCTGCAAATATATTCAATTTGGGTTTTAGTAACTCTCCATTTTCTTCCCCAGGCAATATAATGCCATGAATGTCTTTTTCTGCCCTTATTGCACAGGCTAAGGGCTCTCTCTGCCTTTAACATATATATATAAAAAAAAACGGGGCTATAGGACACACGTGCCTGGCTAATCTAGAAATTTAAAAATATTTTGAGACGTAGCCATTTGTTTTAATACACGTCTTTGCATGTTTTAATAGCATCTGAACTCAACCACGAAAATTGTCCCCAAAATCAAATTCCTTCATAACGAAGTCTAGCCATCCCCATTCCATCCTGACAATTATACCCTCTTCATCTTCATAATCAATATATTATATGATAGCCGGTATCATTCTATTGGCGTCCGTTTTACGTCTGCCTTTTACAAACCCTTTTTGGTCGGGGTGAATAAGTTTTGGAAGGACTATTTTTAATCTTTCTGCTAGTATTTTTGATATAATTTTGTAATTGCAATTCAGCAGTATAAGCGGGCGCCAGTTTCGTATATTTTTTCGTTCTCCGCCCTTAAATAGTAATGTTAAAACTCCCTTATAGTGTGTGTCCGACAATGTTTTTTTATTAAATATTTCTTGCAATAACGTACAAAATTCTTTTTGTATGTTATTCCAGAACATTATATATATAAGCCAATTTTAAACAAATGCAGAAACCATCCATTTTTAATTGATTAAAACAATAGTTTTTAAACATGGAAAAGACAAATTTTACAAAAATACTCTTTCTAATATATACCAACCGATTGTACGCAGTAAATCTATGTGCTTTTAAGTTATGGTAATGTTTGTGTCAAAACGAAACCGATAGATCGTTTTTTTTTTTGTTTAAAATGCAGGACTTAAGATAAATCGGGTTTCCACAATTTTTTTTATTATTGTGTTCGTTGATTCGTATACGTCATTCACAAACTAATTTGTGATTTGAAAGCACTTTAATTATAATAAAATCCAGTACATTTCTATTTTGTTAAAAGTTAGAGACAATTTAGACCTAAATGCATCCTCTTATGTACATTGAGAATATAATAAGGAGATTTGTCTCACATTTTTGTTTTCAGACATAGAACAAAAGATGCTACATGAAAACAGGGAGATGAAAGAAAGAATTTTATGTAAAATATGTTGTGAAAACATTGTGTGTATTGCCTTTTTAGCTTGTGGTCACCTGATAAGCTGTTCCCGGTGTGCACCATCTCTTGGAAAGTGCCCGATCTGTAAGAAGGAGGTTCTAATAGAGACAGCTTTGCAGTTTAAATATTTTATATACATCTCATTTATACCGTTTCATGTGATACAATTCTTTTCCTCTCATAAGGACAATATATTAAACTTAAGATATATGCGTACATTTACTACTTAAATCTACTATCTTTTTGTTAACTAAATATTTTATGTAAACACGTCCTACTACGTTAATCGTCATAAATTTAAATTTAGTTCATTTTTACATATGTTTTAGAATAATCAATATTGTTATATGCTTCATAGGATAACGCTTTTGTGTAAATAAAACAACGGCATTAAATTATTTCCGAATCAGTTTTTTTTTTATTGTTTAAATTCCATAGCAAAGAGTAAAAAGATTCAGGAATTGTCTGCGTTTAACTTGACATAACATAGTCAAAAAGACTTTGCAATCGTTTGAATCTAATTTGACATAACATTGTGTAAAAACATTCAGAAATCGTTGATTCTAATATGACATAATATGGAGTATACATTTCTCAGCTCATACGATATTCAAGAGCTTGCAGCTGCTACTGGGACTTTGTAAAATGTCATTGGCGTCTCAGCAAAGAATTTACGAGCCATGGTTTTGTCAAAGAACTTCTCTAAAAAAAGGTCATCGAAAAGGACTTAAAAGATGAATATTCATTGTCTTCTTCTCATATTTTTTGTTAATACTTTTTTGTAGACTTTTTTGTCTGACATACAAAATTATAAGCCTGGTATATTTGATCAATGTATTTATGTGCCACATGTGGAGCAGTATCTTCTTACCCTTCCGGAGCACCTGAGATCGCCTCCAGTTTTTGGAGGGGTTCGTGTTGCTCAGTCTTTAGTTTTCTATGTTGTGTTTTGTATACTGTTTATGTCTGTTATTCATTTCTTTTTTAGTCATGGCGTTGTCAGTTTATTTTCGACATAGGAGTTTGAATGTCCCTTTGGTTTCTTCCGCCTTTCTTTTACAACTACTGGATCGATGCCACTGCTGGTGGA